GTCATAAACATTCTAACCCCTTGACTCAAGGGGCTCTATTTTCGTGCGCGCCGGTGAGGCGTCGGAGGGCGGTGAGCCCCGCGCAGTTGTATTTCTGGCGGAGCCCGGCGTAAGGCCAGTTTGGTATTTTCGTGGACTGAGCCGCACGGAGGCGAGCCGAGATCCGCCAAGCTGGGCGTGCTGGCGTGGCAGGGGGAGGTGTCGACAGAATCAGCTGGCGTGGTGACATTTTCGTGCTCGCCACCGGCGTGTAAAGTGCGCTGAAAGCTCGCCGATTCAAACCTGGTCAGCTTTCAGCGCAAGGCGGAACGCAGCTGGTCCAGTAGTATTTTGGTAGACCGGCGGCGTATCGACATACGTCACTGATGCCTCACCGGCAGGTTTCCCCAGTGTCAGGCACATTTCAGTGCAATAAATAATCATCATCAACTATTAATCTGAGTCAGCATATACATTTAGATCTATACAGATATATTCTGATCTATATCTGATCTGATGAGCGCGTTTGGCACGCGTTTGGACACACAACCTGACCGAATCAACACAGCTGAAACCGCATCAAATTAAATTTAATATCTAGTAAATAGACACACATGATGAAGTTAACAAGATATGTAATTCGTCTCCCTCCTTTTCTTTCTTCCTCTTCCTCTTATTTCTCGCACAGCTCGACCTGGACACGTCTCCGTGTCCTCTGTCCGTCTTGCTGCTGCTGCGGCTGAACAGATGATTTGTTTCAGTGCTCAGATGCGTGATCTACTTTAAGCCGACATACGGATATTATAATATTCAGTTTTGTGGGCCAAAAGAAAGACAGAGCCAGGCCACGGAGCGCGATGCGTCATTTACGCACAGATGGTTCCGATTTTAATGCCATTTTTGGAGTTTATGTTGTGATCTGTGCGCTCAACCCACCTTTGTCACGTGAGGTTTGAATATGAGCAACTTTATGTGAGTGTCTTTATTTGTGGAAAAGGGTGTTTGTCTTACCACTGGGTCCAACATTACACACACCAAATCCATCTGTGCTTATATGAGAGGGTGTGGAGGACACTTGTTAAGGAGCTGCCCTCTGTCGCCATCTTGTGGCATTGCGGATTTAAAGGCAAGGAGAGGAGCTTATGTGATTGGTGAAAACAGGTCTCGGCTGTGTTAAACCCACTACACGCCCTCTCTCCTCCCCATCTACGACTTATGGTGCTGGGAGGAGCTGAGTTAGGGAGGGGGGATACTTACGCCGGGCTGCGCGGCTCACCAAAATACCAAAATGTGCTTGGGAACGCCTTGTCAGCGCGGCGGATCTGACTGACGCTGCGCTTGCGGCACGTCTCCGGCGAGGCACCAAAATAGAGCCCAATGTCCTCATTTCTTTGTAAGTTTTTGGATATCATTTAAGTTTTCAGGATATTTACACCCTACCAATGCAATTGGAGTTAAACTAATTTTCCCTTTCTGGTCATGGTTTTTGTAGAATTTATTATTTCTATTGAATTGCTTTGTTCTAAAAATTTAGATCAGCAGTGTTCCTGTCAACCTATTTGTTTTATTTCTTGCTATGCTTTTACCTTGGAAAGAAAACAGTTATTGTTGTTATTATTATTATTATTGATTTTAATTGTTAATTTCGTGTTAAAGTATTCACACTATGGAAAACATCACTTTACTTCTCTGTCCCTCTTCACAACTTTAACAACTTTCAGTTACCCTTTGTCTGATCTCTAATCCAGAACACACTATTGCCACAAATAAAGGGAAAAAAAGAATAAAACAGACCCGACACAAAGTCAGGATCTTTCTCTGTACGTCGCACCATTTTTCCAAGCCTTGCCTCACTTCAAACTATGTCACAATCAAAGCCACAGGACTCTCACTGTCAGTCTTTTACACATTCACTACTCAAACAGTGCACTTGCCACACCCTACTTCAATCTTAACTTGTGTCACCATTCAACACTGCAACACTTGTTCAAATGAGCACACACATTAAAACCTGATCCCCAGCGGTTTTGTAAAATTCTCAAAAAATACACAGTATAAAGCTTTTGCATTAACTGAAGTCTCACAGCAATAGGCAGTATTGGTATCAACAGCTTCAACAATATTTAAAAAAAACAGTTTTTTGGCAGAAACAGCAGATGTATAGAAGCAACCCTTAGATTTGAAGTTTTAGAAGTTTTGCACTTGTGGTACCTCATTTCTTTTTCCCCTTTTTGTATCTTTTATACTTTCACAAACATTATTTCAGCAGCTTTAACACAGAAAATTTGTTAAGGGGCATAAGACATGTGTAAACAACAAAAAATCATAATATTCAAGCATGAGCTAAAACCTTCATATCAGGAGTGTTCATCATGATACAAGAACAGAACCTCTTTCCCCGGAGTATTTAACCTTCTATGTCTCAACTGATAGCATGTCTGCAGTGAGCACAGTATTCACATAAACAACTATGATATAAACACAAGTGAGGAAAACAGCAATCTTTGACTAACATACACACACAGATGCAGAGCCTGGCTGTGAACACTGCCAGAGAACTTAGTTGACACAGAGCAAAGCACACACACACAAACATCCAATAAACCCACACATTTCACTTTTTCATCACACAATGGTATACCCTTTCACACATGTTTGTCTTAAGTCAAAGTCAGTCACCGGGGTCAGTCAGCAGTCTTCACCTTCTTTACTCTTACTTTAAATTGATTTTAAGTGTTTTGTACTTTTTTAACATTCCTACAAGTAATGTGTTGAGGGTTAGTCCTCAGTTTTTATTTTTGATTCTTGTTTTGATTTTTCCAATTTGTGTGATTTTCCTACAATTGGTCAGGAGATATGGGCCGTGCTTGTTCAATTGGGATCCCTGAATAGGCTTGTCAGCCCATCCTTATTGACCTCTTTTTCTATCTCCTGCTCATCAAGCCAATCTGTATCTGTAATTTAAGTCCAATTACAACACCGATTTTGTGAGGTCTTTGATATATAAAAGATATATATATATATATGTATATATATATATAAGATATATATGTATATATATACACATTTCAAATATGTATTATTGCCTCATTATACTTATTCGGCCCTCTAGAGTCTGGATCAGAATTTCTGAGGAAGTATGCCACTTTCGTTCTCCTTTTGGCTTTTTCTTAAGCCTCAGCGGAACTCCACATGACAAATCCTCCTTTCTAGTGGAGTTTTCCAGAAAGAAAATCCACGTATGTATTACTAGATGAATCTGCTCGTCTGGCGGCTACCACCTTTAAGAGCTCATAAAAGAATGACCTAAAACTCACAGTTCAACAATGGACAGACACACTTGTGCCCGCCGCTCCCCTTGTTATCTCAACAATTATCCAGATCCTCTTATCACCAGGCATTCAGCCTAAAAACACATCACAACCCGGGCCAGGCTGTCTGCAGACCGGTGTCCACCCAACTACTGGCCTATGCCGCTTAGCACCGGGTCTATTAGCTCCACACATCTACTGGCCTTATGCCGCTTAGCACCCAGTCTAACTAGTTCCACACAGCTACTGGCCTTGTGCCGCTTAGCACCCAGTCTAACTAGCTCCACACAACTACTGGCCTTGTGCCGCTTTGCAACCAGTCTAGCTAGTTCCACAAACTACTAGCCTTGTGCTGCTCCGCACCCAGTCTAACTAGTTCCACACAACTACTGGCCTTGTGCCGCTTAGCACCCAGTCTAACTAGCTCCACCCAACTACTGGCCTTGTGCCGCTTAGCACCCAGTCTAACTAGTTCCACACAGCTACTGGCCTTGTGCCGCTTAGCACCCAGTCTAACTAGCTCCACACAACTACTGGCCTTGTGCCGCTTTGCAACCAGTCTAGCTAGTTCCACAAACTACTAGCCTTGTGCTGCTCCGCACCCAGTCTAACTAGTTCCACACAACTACTGGCCTTGTGCCGCTTAGCACCCAGTCTAACTAGCTCCACCCAACTACTGGCCTGTGCTGCTTCGCACCCAGTCTACTAGCTTCACATATAACGGTCTCACACAACCCACTGCAGTTTCCCTTATATTCAGCTGATATATATCCAATTGTAATTGTCTTCCTTTCCCAAATTTAGCACCCTTTGATCAGCTGACTGCAAGCATGCAGTTTTCTCAGACTGTCTTCATTCCCACTGTCTCCTCTTGTTTCTATTCTAGGTTCTTTGATTTGAAGACGACAGAGAACAGTAGTCTGCACCACCTCACAGGGAAAAGAACTCTCAACCAAATTTTAGGAAATCTCCTACCTTTTTTTTTTTTGTGTCCACAGACTGTCCTTATGCCATGTGAAGTTTGCAAAACCACAGTCCCTTGTCCCCCGATACGAAATCTGGCAAAGGCTCGCCATTATGTTGTGTAAAATCCAGAATAAATTTAGTAAAACAATGCACAGGAGACAGGATGAGATCTGAAGAACAGCCTGGGCGTCCTAGCTTTTTTTCTACTCCCTTTTATGCTGTAAGGTGTGTGTGTGTGTGTTCTGTCATCATGGGTATGTCATATCAATTCTCCAGAGGGCTACCCATGATGACATGTCACACTGTTCTGACCCTCAACACTTTTTTTAGGCTCGTCTTAACTCTTGCAGAGATTAAATGTTCCAACAGACAGATAGTTCGGGCTCCTGCAAGACAGTCTTGCTTACAACCTCAGGGTCATGAGGCTGCATGAGCAGGCCAACCTAGATTATTTGTTGCTCCTTACTAAAAGATAGTGACTCTATATTTCTTAACCTAAATGTATGAAGAGATTCTCCTACACCATTTCCATGTTCACACCAGGAATGCCTGAGCCCTTTATGTTTCCATGAAAATTTTATTCAGCAGTCAGCACATGACATAACAATGTTAACAATGCTATAACAATAACTTCAATAAAATAAAATTAAGAAAATAATATCTTTGCAATAACAATACAAAATAAGTGCAATTTTCCCTGTAGGATAGTCTAAAGTAATAAAAACAAATAAAATAAAATGCACATTTTTAACAAACAACAGCTTCTCTGCTTTATGGCAGGCAAGTCTGTTCCTCTTCTCATCCAGCACATGAGATGCAGCACTGAACAGTCTCTCTGAGTCAGTGCTAGTGCATGGAGCACTCAAATACTTGCGTGCCACCTTGGCCAGGTCAGGAGAGTGCTCTCTTTTATTTCTCCAGTATCCAAGAGGGGTCTCCTTCTTCTCCCTGTCTTCTTTTTTTTTAGGATGCTTGCCTCGTTGGATAATTGGGATGGGGGCCTCTGAGAGGTAGTCATCCAACTGTTGAGCTCGTCACCGGCCTGCCATTTTAGAGGTTTGAGAGAAGGATTTGAGATTTAATTTAAGATGGGGACATTGCATCATGTATATTAACATTATTAGTTTGACTAAATCAATAAAGCATTTGACAGGTCAAAAATGTACAAGTACAAAATAAAGGGCATATTCCATAGCACATACAGTACTAAATATTAATAAATATCACAGACACATTCAGTAGCAAACAGTAATAATAACAAAGTCAGAACAAAGTAGCTTACCTAGTTTCAGTGATATTCTCTCCCAGAATCTCGCTGAACATATCAGACAACAAGAGTGGTTTTGTCTCCTCCTCCTCTTCTGCAATAGACAGACGAGGCCTCTTTGCTGCACTCTGTTTTGGGTTCCCTGTGTTGTTAGTGTCACTGTGTGCCCCATCTCCCATGGTTTGTGTCTCTTCTCCCATCCTCTGAGTTCATGTCGCGTCTCCCGTGCTGTGGACAGCAGCCTCCTGTGGGTTTTACTTGTCCAAAACAGCCTAGATCATGTCACGTGCCCTCCGCTTTTCCCCCTTATTAAAATAAAAACATTTGTATCGCGGGTCAAGTTCAGTCGCGATGCAGTATCAGAGTAAATGTTCTCAAAACGTTTGTTGACAGACTCCGAGAGTGCACTTTTCATAGCTATTACTCCGTGGTCCGTTTCAACCTCCTATCTTAGTAGATGCTTTAGAGCCTCAAATTGGGAATAACGTCTGCCACCAATGCCTCAGATGAGCTGATAGTTTTAGTCATCTCTTCAAATGGATGGAGAATGGAGATAATGTTCTCAATTAACACCTCAATTAACATGTGTACTCACATCTTGTTGGAAACGTTTAATTGGTGCTCCAAGCTCATCTTGTATTTTCTGCAAGTGACTATAGGCCAGTTGAGAATGCTTGAAGTGACCAACAATTTTTCTGGCTATAGCCAACAAATCTTTTACGCTAAATATTTTCTGCCAGGCAACGTATAACGGGGTTCAAGCTTAATCATTTGTATAGCCTTGTTAACCATTAGGTAGTTATACTGTTAGTTAATAATCTGAATGTTGGTTTGTAGAATCCATTATTTACCGTTATGAAGTTAATTTACATGTGTTTACCCTTGTGTTGTTCCCAGTTCATATGTGTAACTATCTGTTTCATGTCAGAGCAATTTAACATGATCAATGTTCTGTTAAAAGTGATACTCAAAACATAATGAGAATATTTGTTAATGTGATTCTACAATTCTTTATATGTATTTAGCATCAATACCTTTATTATGAACCAAGCATTCCTTAACATTAATCATAGTGAGTGAGTGAGTATTTGATCTGACTCCTTTACTAGCCAAATTTTAAGTTGGATCAAACAGTCAGGGACCTTGAAAGTCTCCTCTCAGGAAACTGCAGCTGAGGATCAGGACCCCCTCCTTTACCTTAGAGACACTCCCGGTTTGAAAAGTATAAAACCAGTAAAGTTGGGATGCTCACTCTCTTGCCTCTTTTCTTCTTTGCCTTTTACCTACACTCTTGTTTTTCCTCGTTTTTTTTTTTTTCTTGTCTCTTTGTTTCTGCTTTGTTCCCTCTAAGCTGGTTTTCTCTGTCTTATTTTTTTTTCTAAATTTTTTTAAGTTTTCCACCACGTGTTCTTTCACATTGATTTTTCTTTATCGTCTTCGTTCAAGTTGTGAAACTTCAACTGGTAATGGAGCCTCTTTTCTTGGTTATCTGCGTGATTGCCAAGTCACCTCTGAATGCCACCCAGCAGGCCCAAAGTCATCCTCTGAGCCAGAGTGTTGCAGTGAGACCAAAGGAGCATCTAAAGAATAGATACGGCTCTGGTTTTTGTGTTCAGGCCTGTTTGCTGTGACTCCTGGCCTGTCCTTCGTCAGACTTCGGTCCTCTTCAGAGTTGAACCTCTCGAGCCAGTAGCCTGGACCTTCTGAACCTGCTCCATCTTCTCCAAGGACCAGTCTCACTTAAGTATCCAAACTTCCAGAGCTCCAAACAGGGCTGATGCTGTCTCATGCATTGGATTCAGATAACCACATCCAAATTTATCTTTACCCCAAAGTTAATGTAGGTTAATATGTTTGAACATATTCACTCACTATGATTAACTTTAGCAGTCCCAGCCTGACTCAGGGTCTTTCATTCATCTGTTATTATCTATATTTATCTTATCATCATTTATTGCATGTATGTTGTACCATCATTTATCCTGTAATAAACTGATCATTTATTTTTCCAAGTTCCTGTCTGGTAGTGTTCTTCCAGTAGTAGAGTCCCTGAAATGAGAATTTCGTTTTGAGAAATTTGATTGATTAATTTAAGATTAACTCAATGTTTGATTTCTGAATTAAACTTTTTTTCTTTATTTTTCCACCATTGGAGGTGGGTGGTGCCCCTTTTAATGAGTGCATAAATGTCATAAATTAAGATTATTATCAAATATTAATCTTAAGACATTTATTATAAATACAAATCGCTACAGCTGCAACAAGAAATAAAAGTCCAGCTATTTCACAAGATGAACAAATAAATAATAAAATATAGACTCAAAAATGTGCAGCATATAAGACCAATTCATCATTTAATTTAATTTAATATTTAGATTGCTTCTCTGATGGTGCTGTCTCGTAGTATGTGTTGTTATACATATCTACTGGTGGTATAAACGGACTGAACAAGCCGAGCGGTATGTTATGTTTACATGACGTCTGATTGTACAAATGAGTCTCTAAAGTAACACTAAACTTTAACATCAAAGACACACGTGCACAGTATACCAGTTATTCGTGGCACCGCTCATTTTGAATAAAATAAATAAATGAACTCCAGTTCAACTGCAGCCGTGCGAATGAAGCCAACAGCGCTAGCAGAGATAACGAAACTAACATAGCTAACTGGTAAACAAATGGACATGTTCGGCAGTATGGGAGGCATATCTGATACTGGTATTGGAATCAGAGCAACTCTAGTCCGGTCCAGTATTATATCGTATTATAACGTTTTGAGTTGCTGACAGGCTACCTTGCTATCACGACCACAACCACAGGTAGCTAGTGAGCTCAGTTTGCCTGTGTGCTCCCCGGTGCAAGTTCATACTAAGCTGTGCACCCATTTGTTTGTTTAACAATAGATAAGTTACTGGTATATTTAAACGAGTCATTTCCATTCAATTTATACATGAGTTATGCATTGAAAGACCAGATTTCTCCAGACATCCCAATGTTAAAAGGCCAAAAAATATATAATTTAAAAAAATATAAATACTGTAATGTTATAATAAAGTATAATTTACATGCGAATTTTAGTACCGTATTAAGCAAAATACCCACCTTGAGAGTAAAAACTCTTTAAGAGATGTTAGCAGCACATGGGCACAGTGTGGTTGTGATGGAACCCCTGCAGACATGCATTGGATACGCCCAGTTCTTGTTTTCTTGTTTCCTAGAACTTGTCCTGACCTCAGATGCACAGTTTTGAGGTTTCCAAACTCAAGTTGTTAAGTGAGACCAACTTTAGCCAAGAAACTTGAAAAAGATAGTTGAAATACATATGTTGATTAGTTTACAACACAACTCAACCTTTTTTGTTGAGTTAGCAGAAAACATATGGTTAGGCCAAGAACTTTAAGTTTTCATTTTTAGAGTGTGCATTGCATCCCTCACTAAGGTCCAGCCATCTTGATTTTTTTTGATACGTGCCCTGAACGGTTGGGTTTAGTGATGTCAGACATCACATCCTCTAACATACGCCTATTAACTAAGACATTTCAAGTTAAGTGACAGTGTTCACTTCGACATACTAGTGCCTGTGAAATCAAAACAATATTAATTGTTAAGACTACTCAATGTTACAGTGTAGGATGAACTAATTAGCTCACTGTTAAGTAGTTGTCTGCAAAAAAAAACTGGACCCACACCACACCACCACCTTTTTCTGGTATTTAAATTGCATGTATTGTATAAAGTTTTATTTTCCTCTCCCTTTTTCCTTTTCTAATTTTTTTCCCTAATAATAACATTATTTAAGTTTCTTAATATATGATCTTTATTTTTATAACTGCATTTTTGCACTTTGTCTGTGATGCTGCTGTGACAAAAAAAAAAGAAGAAATTCCCCATGCATGCAGAAAATGGAGAAACCTTTACCCAAGATTGAAAAAATATCAGATTGAAAGCATGACCAATATATATATATATACGTTTTTAATTAAATATGGACTTTAAAAAATGACAAAAGACAAGAAGTTTGTCTCTGTACAAAAGAAACCTCATGTAGATGTCCAAAAAGAAACAGCCATATTTCAACGTGTGCTCAGATATTTCTCAGAGTCATTGTGGTTACTGTTGGTTCTGTTTGGGTGTAAAGAGTTCAGCATGTAGAGTATGAGAGTTGAGGAAAACAAGCGCTCTACTTTGAAAAGCTACTGTAACTGTAGATGTAAACTCATTTGATTCTTCATTATTAAGAGTTATGGTGAGACCTGGAAAAAACTGTCACAATATAGAAGGTTTTCATGTCAGAGAGTGTGTTTGTGGCTGTAAAGCCTTGAATTTACCTGTGCATGAGTGCCTTATGTCCCCACTTTCATAACAGCAGGCTCCCCATAAAAAAGGCTTAAAAAGTCATCTGGCTGACAGGGGAAAACACTTTTCTTACCTCAGTAAAATTATCTTAGATTTTAGTGTTTGTCCAACACTTTTGTACCTATTTAATATCAGAGCATGCTCCTCCACTCTGGGCTGTAGGAGAAAAAAAGGTGTAACTTATAATGGGCTCAGCCTCGCTGGTGAGTCCAGCAGCTGAATTAAAATGCAACATTATCCAGCTTGGCCAAGGTTAGTCTGTGTCAGCTGGGGCACTGGTACAGGCACTTCTTCCAGCCTCTCCATTGAGGTAATAAATTGAGTCTGATGGCTAATTTTAGGTGAAACCCAATAGCTCTAGCTAAACTACAGGCCAGGGGGGACCATTTAATCAAAATATGTCTGGCACTGCTGCAAATATAGAAACAGGCTCGGGGGACACAAAAAAAGATTCTAGAGTGAATATGTTTTTGATGGAAATTGGTTTTAGGGGTTACTGTAGCTCTGTCTGCTCAGTAAAATGAGTTAAACTGTGGGAGGTTACAATCAGAGAAAACCAGCCCTTACATTTATACTGAGCTTTTAAATAGTCAAATATCAATGGGGTTAGAAGTGAAATCCAGCAAATGTAGCTCCTGGACAATATTTTGATTATCTACACATCCATCTGTTTATAACTAAAATCGTGCATAGGGTACATTAAAAAGCTTTCTGAGCCTACAAACTGACTTTCATGAGATTAGTTTAAGCATCTTAAAACAAATGCAATAGTCCGAGAGAGAGGAGAAAGAGATGCCAAGAATCAAGAGAATGCTTTTAAAGACTATGTTCCCCTGCACTCACTAACTCCTTCTGTGAAAACGTCCCTTTATTTGCAGGGGAGAGCAAAGATCTCCAAAGTGGCGTCCAGTTTGCAGCCTTAACAGCCTGCCAAGAGCCACATCTCGTAGCTGCAATCATTGACACTCAGAATAAACGGGCTGATATTTAATCATAAGGCCAGGAATGCACAAGGGATGTGTCTAATCTGCTCCCGTGGTTGCTGAGGAGTTGCACAGTGCGCAGAGTTGGAGCCATGAACTCTCCGTGTCAGCTCAAGCTGTGAGCCTGCTGGGTTTCGGTGGCAGACCCCAGAGGGTAACATTGCATAGCAGGAGGCCTCAGCATGCCATTGCAATTAATGTATTGTCTTACTTAATAAGATGGAAATGTTGGAATGATTAGTGAAGACTGTGGTGTGGACTCTGGGGTCAGGTGGAGGATTAGTTTCCAGAGTTCTGAGGAGCTCGCTTACACCTACTGCTGAGCTGGTCTGAAGCAGGGAAACACTACATTCTCCTGTATGTTCAGTATTGTTGTTGGAACTTTTAAATGGTATCGACTGAACCTGAAATTTACTGGAACTGTATTAAAAAAAAAAAAATAAATCCCCTCTCCTTTTGCTCTTTTAGTCTACATGAATATTTAGAAAATTAAATCCCCCGGCGACGTTTGCAATAACCATCTTCATTTTTCTAAACCAAATCAAATCTTTGACTTCTTAAAACTTTAAAAACACTTTGATTTGAAAAACTGGGTACACACACTAGTTAATCACAATAGTCATATGGACTTCATTGTGTATATGAGCACCTGCAACAAAGTTTAATTTCTTTACAGCATTTTAATTTTCTTGAGGAAAATTCTAATCTAATTTATCTAGGAATTACCCTGTGGACAACCTGATCCCACACCTCAGATCAGATCAGATCAATCTGCTTCAAGCGGTCTGGCACATACCACTTCTTCCTATTGACACTAAATATTAAACAAAATAAAATCAAACAATAAAGTGATACTATCTGTTAGCATTCTAGATAAATTAATGCTATGGAAAGTATTCTTCGAAATACTTGAATGGATTTGGAGTGAAACGCTCTTTTCTACTGGGCCACCTTCCTTCCTTCCTTCTTTCCTTCCTCAATAATCAAACCTGACCATTCATGAATTTGAGGCCTACAGTGCTGAGATATAGCACAGTAAAGATTTGACATGTTTCTTCATCAAATCTTGAACCCCAACTACACAAGGTGACCTTAAAGCAACACATGAAGTGTGTTCATGGAGTTAATCAAAAATCAGCAGGATATTTTTTAATTTCGTTGCGCCTTTTGGTACAATGACAACAAAGAATTCTGATTCTGAAATGTGAAAATGAAATGAATGCAGTGCTGAAGCAGCTACTCCAGCTGT